AGGAAGGATTCAAAACCACAAAAAACTAAGTAAAGTAGAAAATACACCTCTAGAGGAATAAAAGCAACCAGGTCTGTTTTTAACAGCGAGCCATTAGCAGAATTGACCAGAACGAACAGGGCAGTTCTTCTTCTCTTTCTCACATCAACAAATCCTTTCAGGATACATTCCTGTTGGTCTTTATCAGTAAATAATTAAGTGAAGACGTAAAAGTTAAAGGTTTATCTATTTAGCATAACAAAAGTCAAATTCTTATTTTACAAAGAAAAAAAATCTGAAGTAAAAGTCTGTAGTTAGTGTTGACCTCTGATCCACAGCTGGAGCTTCACATCTGGTTCGTTTTCACTGACAGAAACAGAAACCAGTCCAGATTTCACCAAATAGATGCTCTATTTAAAAAGTGAAGCACTTCCTGTGTAGGATGAATAATTAGGATGTTTTAAAGAAACAATAGAAATGTGTCGTTTTGGGGGTGCAGGTGGGGCAGTGGTGGACCCATGTAAGGAGGCTTTAGTCCTCGACGCGGGCGACCCGGGTTCCAACCTGAATCTGACCTGTGGTCCTTTCCCGCATGTCTCTTCCTCTCTCTCTCATTCCCGCTTTCCTGTCAGCCTACTGTCCTAAAAATGAGCCACTAGTGCCGAAAAAAACTCCAAAAAAAGAAAAATGTGTCATTTTAAGGGTAATATATCCTATAATAATGGTGGTCCAGTTTGCCGCCCATTAAGGTCTTGAGTTTGATTTTTTTCTGCATGGTCTCCCTGTGGATCCCTGCTTCTCTCCAGGTACTCTGTCTTCCTCCCACTGTCCAAAATTCTTCTCAGGTTGATTGGTGTATTTGAATTGTGGGAGTTTGCTGGTTGAACGTCTCTGCTGATCTAGGATGAACTGGAGACCAGTGGTGGCTGACCAATAGAGGGCGCCACCGCTCCAGCCCAACAACCGGGATTAAGAAATCCATCCATCCATTTTCCATCACTCTTATCCCTGCTAGGGTGGTGAGAGGTGCTGGTCTCCAGCTGTCAGTGGGTGAGAGGCGGGGTCCACCCTGGTCAGGTAGCCAGGGCAACACAGAGACAAAATAATATATATATATATTATTTATTTTTCATATATTTGTAATGATTGAATTTGTTTCATTGTGTTGCTGCGAGGAACACTGCATGAAATGTTCTGGATAAATAAAGTCGCTTTGATGCTGAATGGATGATTAATAAAGTCTGACCTGTTAAAAACATTCAGAGGTTTCTGTAACTTTCCTCTCATTCATCACAGATTTACTTTTATGGGAATAAAAAAAACAAACGCTTTTAAAAAACATTTGACTGTTTTCCGATTGGTAGATCCCCTCTGACGTATTGTTACGTCACCTTAACGATGCGGAAATGTAAGTCACCGTGGAGAAGGTAAACTAAAGTGCAGCAGCTGTCTGGAAAACATCAATAAATTCAAACAGGAGCAGAAATCCGTGAAGCGGCGGAACAGCGGAGGCCGAACCGGAACCACGGGCCGCTTCCAGCCGGGGTTCGGCTCTCTATCCCGGGGCTGTAACGCAGATGACCGTTACTGCTCCAACTGGTCCCTCTGCGCGTTACCGACACCAGTACCGTGGATGGACCTACAGGGCGAGTCCACGTCCGCACTTCTGTGGGCTTCCAGGGGCCGCTGAGAGCCGCTGAGCTCCCCGCCTCACTCCGTTGCTGGAGGTAAGAAACCGCTTCGCCAAACTCTATAAAAACATGTTAAGATTTCGGTTTATTCAAATAATTTACAGGATTAAAGCTGCTTTAGAACTCAGTCTGCAGACTGGGTCAGAATAAGAGCCCCTCCGGTGAATTCGGCTCTGGTTTTAGCTGCAGCAAACAGCTGCTTATTGAAATAATATTCCCACTTTTCCAGAAACTGTTGTTGTTGAAGCAGCGGACCTCCCCGCTGAGCGCTTCTTACAGCAACCACAGGATCCTGGAAAAGTCTCATTTTAAGCTCATCGATTAGAGATTATATGACAGCCGAACATTTAAACATGTGCTAATAAAACAGAATATTGTTAAAATACTGACAGAGTTCTGCTCTGATTGGACAACTCCTGCAATAATGTTAAAATAGACATTTCTGCAGGGGGATCCTCGCTCCCGAATCCTGCTTAGAATCGAAAGAGACTGTTTTTTTACGGAGCGAAAAAATATGCGTTTTTTCTTTGAGATAACTTTTCTGAGCATGTTGACGTTTTTAATAATGAAGATGCATTTAATACAGATTTATTGAAATAAGTGGAAGTGGACAGACTCCATCCTCCAGGATGCAGAAGGTCCAGTGACCTTTAGAGGACAGGGAGCAGGCGACGTCAGCAGGAGCCCAGCCAATCAGGGGAGAGCTGCCTCTGGGAGCAGGAAGTACATCCATTATGAAAGGAGGATGTTGGTGGAGGGAGAAAGGTGTGACAACCTTTCAGTGTTGATCACATTGGAAGAAGAGCAGTAACGTTTTTCTTGGAAATATTATCTAAAATGTCAGAATGTTTAATCGTCGCCTCTGATGTTTGAAATGCCAGAAATCTGGTAATTTAGCAGCTTTAATGTAAAGGAAAACAATGATGGAAGGTCTGCTGGAGATCAGGAATATGGAAAATGTGGTAAAAAAGTAAAGATTAAATGCTGTAACTGTGGTGGAGAGCAGGCCGGGATTGGTCATCTGTGATAGCGGGCATCTGCCCTCTGGGCTGATCCTGATTTCATCGGCGAGGTCCGGCCTCCTTAAATCATACCGTCCAGAAGTGGGGCCGGTGCAGATGGAAAAATGCCAGGGCTGAAAATCATTCCCAGTCTGAGCCTGGATGGAGAACATTCTGCTGCTTATTGTGGATGTGAAGTGGGATCAATAAAAGAGAAATTAGAAATCAGAATAACTTCTGCTGAAGCTGCAAAAAGAATCTAATCCCAGTCAGAAAGACCCAAACCAACAGTTCAGGAAATGACAAGTTAAACCTCTGGAGGAGCACTGCAGAGGAACCATTGATTGTTAATAAGAAGGATGTTTTCATGTTTCCTTCTTTAACTCATCAGTTGGTGACAGTAATGCATTTTAAATTCGTAGGGAAATCATAATTAAATGTAAAATCATTCTGGCTTAAACATGTATATAAATGTTCTCTTTATCAGATCATATTGTCCCAAAATTTAGAACATTTCTATTTAAAAAAAATCCTTTCTTAAAATCTGTTTTTTCCCCCCCGTTATCTTCTGCAGGCCAGTTAGTTCTACGTCAGCCTGAACACCTAAATTCGGCCAATCATATATCAACGGTCATCTGTCAATCAAATGTTTTCGGTCATAGCATCTTGATTCATATGTCGCAGCTAATATACGCAACTGTTCCGTCCCAGTGTTCACGGGGATGGACGTCTGTGTCTTCGGCATTTCCTCCTCTAAATAAAAAAT